ACATGATTATTCTTACCAGAAAAAATTATATGGATTTTGGTTTAATATAAGTTAATGTTTCCTCTAAAGTGTGTTGGCTAGTTTACGGCCCCCGGTGATCATCCTCGAGTCATTAACGTTCAGTTACCGAGGACGAGTAGCGTTACATTATGTACCTATTACATTCCAATCGACTGCGGGGTTGGTAATTATCTTGACAGGAGAAACAGAAAAAACGAGTGAATAAATAATGCTAAAAACCAACAAAACCAGTGCTAGTTTTGTCGTACAACTGAGTCACTTATCTTCCACAGGCTAGAGTTGCATGTGGGTAACGATAAACAAATAATTAGCATTAGGAGTAACCGCATTTGCTATCTTTTTCCATCGACAAAGAAAAAACTCTGCTTATTTTTCCCTTCACTCAAACAAACTGATTCAATTTCCCATATTTTTTTCCCCGACATTATTTATGACTTTAAACATCACGGAAGTTCGGAATCACATTCACCCGTAATATATCTCGTAATACCCTGACCCACAAATCAAATCCAACTTCCCCAAAAGAAGGATATGTTCCACCTAATTCGAATTTTCGGTCCCAAAAGCCACAACATTCGACTCTGGTAGATTTGTAACGGACTGAGAGGCGCAGGTGAATCCAATCAAAAGCTCGTCGGCAGGTGCCCCAGCCCCTACCCTCTTCCTCATCCTCACTCCTTTATTTGTCCCAGTCCTTTTTTTTTTATTTTTTCCCATCTGAGTAGAAGTGTACAAGTCCACCGTAGATAATTTCCTCGGGGTTTCCATTACTCTTCTTACTCTGGACTCGTTTTTCATCACAATTTTTTTGTCCCACCCGAGCGACTATCAATCAGACCCGCAAGACTCGCATTAACGTTTTATTTATCGAAGAAAAAGAAGAGGAAGGAGAAGAAGAAGAGGTTAACATAGAGTGGGGAAGAAAGTTGAATTTTTGACAACAACACGTCAGCTGTGGTACACCACAGCCCACCTCAATTGCACGGTGGGGGATTTTTTTGGAAGGTGGTTGTGTGGTATACCATGACCCCACCCCCTTTCGCTACTTTTACCTAATTTGCACCCTCGCACCTACTATCTGTCGTTCTCCACGTCAGTCGACGCTGTCAAGCTAAGCGCCGAATTGGTGGACTAATGTATGCCTTTGTGTCAGCTGTTACACGTGTCTATACACTTTGGATAATGCTGCTTTCTTTCTGCTTTCGAAATGTCAAGTCGTCGGTGAATGGGTGCCATTACCATGTACGTAGGGAAAGAATAAAAAATCAATTGGATTTCTTTTCAATTACCGTGTGAGGTTTCTTGGGTAAATTATTTGGTAGCACTTGCTACTTTATAATTGTTGAATGTTTTGTATTCTGTTCGGTAAAGGTTATAGATATAGTATCGGATATTGACATGTGACATTTAGGAATAGCATCAGATAAGCCTCCGACATGCCAGCCTTAACAGCCCGAATATTATGAGATTGGGTGTGAAGCGTGAAAGCTTATTCGAAAAAACAGGAATGAAAAAATCATTAGCTTTCGAAATCAACTCTAGTAAGGGGAAATGATAAAGGCTCTAGTGATCCGTTTCTGAGGCAAGTTGTAAGCCAATATATGTCACCCATGTAATAAAGAGATGACAGTTGATTCAGAAGTGCTTCGCCCACATATATTGTCATTCCGTTAGACCACAAACCCATCAAATCATTTGGTTTCTGTTACGTCATGTCTGACTTTCTGAAGTGACACTTCTCAAGTGATCGAGAACCTCCTATTTTGGAAGGCTGTGATGGTTTTGTCATGGGGAGTCCAAAGGGGTCAGCATATCCACCTAAGGCATATGTAAATCTGGACAGTCATAGTGGTGTTGAAAACGCTAGCCGTAAAAATGTGTACAATCATTTGAAATGATAGGTTCGAGAAATTAATTTGCTTCTGGAACTGCCTGACCAAGAGATCCGTAGAGTTTTCACTGTCCTTTTCGAAAGGCAGCTGAGGTTTACACCAATGTTTACTGGTACTTCACACATCACATTGCATGTAGTAAAACAGCAAAAACGAATGTTTAAATTTCACAGAACTTTTGTACACATTTTTCAGACACTAAAAAACGTCTGAATAAAATCAAAATTTGTTTGAATTTCAAACATGAATTAAGATGTTCAGTGATGAATTTTCATTGCATTCAGCCGTTTTTTAGGGTCTGAAAAATGTCTACAAAAGGTGTCTGAAATTCCGACATTCTTTTTTGCTGTGAAAGCAAAAGGCTTCATGAAATAAAACTTTGTTCACATATATTGTCACTTAGTTGTACCGCCAAACGAACTCATCTAGTAATTTGGTTCCTACAACCTCAAGTTTCCCTCAAGTTTAAGTGGTATGTTGTGTGGAGTTTCGAATCACATTCATCCATACGACCCAAACTTTTACATTTCTAATAGAGTTCAGCAAAATCTCAAGGACCTTGAGATTACTAATTTTTTTGCCTGACATCCGCTGTTGTTCTTGGAACGGTCAAGCTTCCTGGCTCTCTTAATTTACGCGCCAACGCGTTGTTAGTCTCACAGCATAAGTGACCATCAAAGGATGGGCGTTGACGTAACGCGGTGAAAAACAAAGGATCAAACTAATGTTTCTCCACCACTGCCCATCCCAATACAATTCCCACTCCTCAAGTAACTGCCGACAGGAAAACTACACCTACTCAAGCAAACTTTGACCAATGCAAATTGATCATCCAATGAAATATTTAGATTTAAAAAACTACCACCAAGTCAAGGAATACACATTGCGTGTAGAGAGCCATTAAGTGGCTCTAGGATAATTGAAGGCTTGTCAGAATGGTAAAAAGATGGAGGAAATGAGGTTGGGGTATGAAGAAAATGGCGACTCCAAGGCGCCTCGAGGTTTCTGCCATCAAAAGCATCATCGTTTTCAGTGTTGAAGGAGCCCTCAAGTAACGACTCCTTTTCGTTTCTGCGCGTGGAGTAATTACAGAGTACAAAAAGGATAAGGTATATATGCGAAACTCTCGTCCACAAGCCAAGCCATGGGGGTATTCGGCTAATCAATAACCCTATTAACGCACCCGACACGTTCTCATTTACGGATAATCCCAGTAATTCAAGAGTCAACTTTTGCCACCGCAAACCTCTGCCCTCTGCAGCCTCCTACACGTGTTTGTATTTTATTATTCATCTCCATTTTTGTTTTGTCCATTATTCTTCTCCCCGCCCGGAGCCTCAGAGGGATCATTCATCACTTGAGCGATTGAATGCGATTTAAAAACCAAAGGGCAAACATAGAACTACCGAGGATTCATGGACCCATTCTCAACGCTTCTACCTCCTCAACTCGATCGGCTAATTGAGAGATGTCGTTGTCTACGAGTCTCCATCATCGTATTGTTCAGAATGGTGGATCAATACCCTCCAACCCCTCTATATCAACCCCTCTCCTCTGTAACCTACGAGAGAACGTTGAGCTTGAAGAGGGCGTGGTTCGCCTCTAGTACACCAACGGAGATATACCCCTGTTGGCTATCTCCCTCTATCACCGGATTATATATAACCCTGCTGCGCGAATTCAACCCTCTTTGCACCTTCTCTACCCACTGCATGGAAAATGCTTCAATTCCCCTCATCAGTCTCTACCCATACAACAAGCCAAGTGGAGTAAATCTCCATGAGCTTGTCCAATCAGAAAAGCTCACTGAGCTTTTCGATAATCATCAGTGCATCATCTGATATTGCCTATTTAGCCGCTATTTTTTGTATAGCTGGCCTGTTGGAACATCGGTTATGTCCTCGATGAGGTCGTTCTTCGTTTTTTTATGTAACCCTCATTCTCCTGAAACACTCGTGTGTTGGTTAACCCGGGTTGAAACGTTGGACCGCGTGGGGGGCGTGTCGCCTCGATGGCGCCGGCTACTAATGGCCGCAGCCCGCCAGACTTTAATTTCCTGCTGCTTCCGCGCGGACCCTTTGGCTTTACCTTTCTCTGTCCGAATATGTTCTCCCCGAGTGTCTTCCTCCCCCTTCACCTCGTGTCCCACGAAACCTCATCTCTACCTAGAGCCCTGATGACTCTGTCCCCTTTTTTGTAGCTTTCATCTTACTCCTTTGTACTCCCGCCTGGATCACAGTGTTTCGGTAGTCAGAAACGGTAAGCACTGACACGAATCATCATCCCCCGTTGAATCGAGATGATTTGCATGAAACTGGTCTTGATGAGACAGAATCAGCCCACGGCGTCATTATCTCCTGAAATCACCCACAGATGGCCAACCTGTCTCCCATATGCCGGAAATTATTCAGATCTATAATCCATAAGATTTTGGGTGATACCCTTTACTTATATCGAACAGTATCGTTATCATACGATTCGATGCTATTGACGATGTGACAGACGTGGGAGCTTGTGTTCAACGACCTGGGGAGAGAGAGTGAGAGAGAAGGAGCTACTGGGGGAATTAATTTGCATGAAACTACCTTGAGGGATGTGTCGCCAGTTAATCTCTCGCTCCTTTGCAACAGTGGCGCCCCCTTGGGCTTCATTACAACCAGGTTCCAAGTCCAATCTTCGATCTTTCTGGGTAAGAGAGGCAAAGGCTAGACGAACTCTTGTGCCAATTTAGTGTCATTATGCACCCTCGGGGGAGGACTTTCATAGTTTACCGTATAACTTTACTTGGGTATACCTCGTTCCTCATTTCGAGTCTCCATTGAGTGAGGGAGATGGAGGTAACAAGTATCAGGAGGGGAACGGAAGCGTCGGCTTATTTTGAGATCGATTTAGAAGACGTGATTATGGGTAACGGGTCTATACCTCGTCAGCTCTGGTTCAACCGGTTCCACGATATTAACCTTATTTCCTCCGAAATAAAAACACTGGAGGAACGAAAAAAGTTGGAAAAATATTAAACAGTTAACTTGTAGGAAGAGATATCAAGGTGGATGTACTAATTGAGGTATTTCCGTTTTTTTGTTTCAGGATCATCCCGGATTGAGGGGAACCCCACTGGCGATGCTGGCTGCCCAATGCAACAAGCTGAGCAACAAGAGTCCGCCTCCCCTGGCAGATGCGGCAGTGGGTAAAGGCTTTCATCCGTGGAAAAAAAGTCCCCAGAGCAGCGGCAGTTCACCACAGCACAGTGGTAGCGGTGGTGGTGGTGGTTGTACGACAACTGGTGTAACACAGAGACCAGCGGCTACGAGTAGTGCAGGGAGTACTGGTGGTTATGCAAGGGCACCAGTCACTTCTTGTGCTTCTACGGCACCGCAGTACGGCAGTGATTTGTATTTTCCTGGCACAGCGTCAGCCCAACAGCCCGATCCTCATCATCACCAGAGCAGTCTGCTCGGTAAAGTTGAGGGGGCAACGCTTGGTTCAGTTTACGGGAGACACCCGTACGAGTCATGGCCGTTCAACGCGATGCCCGGTGCAACGCACAGTGGCATCAAAGCTGGTGACGGCTGGTGGGATGTTCACGGAGCAGCCACTGGTGGCTGGCTGGACGTTAGCGGCACAGTCGGTGTCCACGCCCAAATGGCAAACTACTCAGCAGACTATTCAACGAGTCTAGCACTAGCTGGTAACCATCTGCTAACATCAGCGACAACTGCCGGTCACAATCTACTCCAAGACACGTACAAATCAATGCTACCTGGTGGACCCCCTAGCTTTGGCCTACACGCACATCACGCGGCTGCAAGTGGTGCAACCGGTGGTGCGGGTAGTCCTCAGGGTGGTACAGGAGGTGGCGTTAGTCAAGCACCATCACCGCGTTCACAGAGACGTTACACAGGCAGGGCAACCTGCGATTGTCCAAATTGTCAAGAGGCTGAGAGGCTTGGTCCAGCCGGCGTCCATCTGAGGAAGAAGAACATTCACAGCTGTCACATACCAGGATGCGGCAAGGTCTACGGGAAGACGTCTCATCTGAAGGCCCACTTACGGTGGCACACGGGTGAGCGACCGTTTGTTTGCAACTGGCTTTTCTGTGGCAAGCGGTTCACACGTTCGGATGAGTTGCAGCGGCACCTTCGAACCCACACCGGAGAAAAGAGATTCGCCTGCCCGGTCTGCAACAAGCGGTTCATGCGCAGCGACCATCTCGCGAAGCACGTCAAGACCCACAGCAGCTCCAGTTCCAGCGGAGGCAGCAAGGCGGGGAAGGGAGCGGGGAGCTCATCAGCCGAGTCCTGTTCCGACAGCGAGGACAACGTGAGCCAGCAGAGTCCCAATTCCAACAGCTCGGTGCCAGTTGTACCAGTGGTACCACAGTCGGGACAGCAGCAACAGCAGCAGCAGTCCCTGTCAGTGGTACCACAGGGTGCACAGGACACCAGCGTAACGTCCCAGAACACCGTACACCAACCGACAACACCCATGACCCCAATGCAGATGACCCCACCCCCACTGACCCCACACCATCCCCACCACCCGCATCTCCCGCCACTAATGCATCATCCACATCATCACGCAACATCCGTACAGTCGCATCATCCGCACGCGGGGATGAGCATGCACTGAGCCCGGTGGGGCCCGGAGTCGCCGGTGTCTGCAATAACGCTAACACAGCGACCCTGGGCTCCCCACTATCCTACCCAATCAACCTGAATCTCATTCATCCCCATCATCATCAGTACAATCACTATCAGTCACAATCACATCAGCAAAATCGTCAGAACAATAATGCATACAACATTACACAAAATCCTGGCACTCCTGGCAATGCTCAGACCCCGTCACCAACGTCCCCAGCACCTGTACATAGTCTCTAAGGAGTCTCTCAGAATCTCCTAGCTGTTGTACTAATTCCCTTGGGGGAAGAGCATTTTCACATGGCTGTCTTACGCATTTGTCAAATTTTTTCATTTTTCAGAGCTGGAGACATGTGGAGGTGCTCTTCTCGGGGCGAATTGCACTTGATAATTTTTTATTTTACTTCTCTCCGGAAAATTATCACATTTATTGCCCAGTTTAACAGTGGTTCAAATTTTTACCCCCCCCCCCCTTCCCCCGAGTAAAGCACCATTATTACACACCTATTTCTGTTATCCGAATTTTACTCTACTTGTAAATACTATATACATAGCGCGTGAGAGATGAATATTATATTATTTAGAGTGATATAATATTGTATAAAAGATGAAATACACTTACCATAATTACACGTAACGTCGTTTTTTTGGTTTTTCAAGAAGATTAACAGAAGCGCTCGGTTGAATCGACGCGTATGTAAATGAACAACAAAAAAAAACAAAATAAAGTCCCACGGTTCAAGGATTCCACGCGTCTGTACTGTAATCACAGTCGACGTTCGCACCAGGTGACGGGTATTTATTTTTATTCTATTCACACGAAGAAGCAAAAATAATCAATTCACTTCTCGCGAATAATGTTCCAGAATTGTTTTCCCCTGTTGACCCGTTGCTCAATCTCCCAAATTGAAAAATCATTTCGGGATCGAACGAGACGCGTGGAAACTTGTCCATGTACACTCGGATGGTGCCCCATATCACGCCCACCCGCCCTAAAAAACCTAGTAACTTTACTAGTATTAATTATTATTAATTAATGAAATTAGATAATGAATTATTATTGAAGTATTATTATAAACGAAAAGAAGAGAAGAAATTATGAAATTCATTTTAAAGAGTTAAAACAAGGAGAACGAAAAAAATTAATAAAAGATGCTTTTGTGAGTATGAAAACGAAGCGTTAATGATTATTTTGATCACATATGCTTCCTAAAATCCCCAAATATCTCTATTTTTTTTCAATATTTTTTTTTCAAAATCTAAAGCCTCAAAACATCAATCATAGCCAAAAAACATACCTCGTTGGGATGAATTTCATGAGCGAGCGGTAACTCGTCACAAATTCGCGTGTCAATAAAAGAGAGAAAGGGAGAATGAGGGGGCGGTGGTAGGGATGAGAGGGTGAGGTGGGGAATTGAAAATGGGTGCCTTTTGCGGCGCGGTAATATCGCACGGGCCGTTAGCTCCCGGGTTCTCCGAGCCATGAAATGTCCCGTCATAACATCAGCTTTGCCCCCCCCCCCACTCTCCACCCCTCATTTCTCCATGATGCACATCGTTGTCGTTTCTCTTTCTCCCCATCTCTCTTTTTCTCTCTTTTTTTTATCACCAATCCCCCATCTCCCTCTCTCTCTCCTCCAGCCATCATCACATCAGCATCCGGGTGACTTGGGGTGCATCTGATATTCAGACAAAAAAAAATGTCTGCATTAACTTTTTTTCAGAGAATAATATTATTTTTTTCTTCTCTCTTACAAAAATTTTAAGATAAATTATGTAAAGAAGGTATTAAAGATGTCGTAACTAAAAAAAGAACCGTCAGGTTTTTATTATAAATATTTTTTTATAGATAGAACGTCGAGACACTTGACTCTCGATCCCGTTTTTCTTAATTTAGAAGTATTTTCAGCCTCTTCATCCCGACTAGCAACAGCCTTCAACTAATCGCCGCGGCAACCAGTACAATGTTTACTCAATCAGCGCTTGGAGTCATCCCCCAGCGGCTTTGTTGTATCTCACAGATTAATTCAATTCCACTGGGGGTACCGAAATGCTGGTTGTGCGGGGGCCCCGGTTAATATCGTGCAGTCATGATGGTGTGGCTTGTTGATGGAGAGTAAAGAGAGGGAGGGAGAAAAATTGAGAGAGTGAGGCATTATCGAGAGAGCTCACTTTGGCCGTTATTAGCGGGGATGACTTGGCTCCAAATCGCCCCATTCAACTACTAGTCCCGGATGGATACAACACATTCTTACGAGAAAAAAAATTCCAACTTCTTGTTCCAATAAAATTTATTGATTAAAGGAAATATATGTTTTGTTTTTTTATTCAATTTGTCTATTTTATTCCTTCAAACATTTGTTCACTACCCATGAGCATAACGAGAAGGTGATAAGGCGGACTTCGGAGAGAAATATAGAGACTACAGCGTTGCGGCAACAAGCGGATTGAATTATTGAGGGATGAGATGTAAAAGTCAACCGCAGTCTACTTTTATCAAGACAAATTTGGATATTGAGATCAGATCTTTTGAAATATACAAATGAGGTCTTCGATTGTACAATAGTCTGGAATGAGTTATTTCCATTTCTATTCGACTCTAGAGCTGCGCACGATACCGCCCAAACTTAATCGAACCTATTCAAACTCATGGGACTCCTCTGGCGCTTCAACTCTCCAAACCTATCTCACCGATAGAACTTATTTCACCCTGTGAATTCATCAAACCCTCAGACTTATCCGACCCATAATCCCTGCAAGCCCGGTGGCTTGGCGCAGTGGGTAAGTTCATTGCTTTATACATGCGAAAGGTTCCGAGTTCAAATCCCGGCCGGGTAGAATGGTGCGATCTAACCATTTTAAAGTCTTGATCATCATCGCAGTATAGCCTAACCGGGTCGAAGCGATGTAAAATAACGATAAAACAAAAAAATCCTGCAATTATTTATATCTTGATGATTGATCCATGTCATTCTGCAAAAACCTACTTAATGGTTAAATTAAAAGAACTACTTGTTGAAATACATCCACTAGTTATTGAGATTCCACAACTAATTGTTAAAATTCGACAACTAGTTGGTAATTCTCCTTTTTAACAACTAGTTGAGTTAGTGAGATGTTTTTAAAAAGTCGGATGAACCACCTCGTCGTTTGATCTCATTGATGTTTCATCATGTTATGTGAATATTGGAGAATTAATGAAAATGAAAAAGAACGATTGACAGTTGATTATAATAAAAGAGAAAAGGTAATCATGAAGACAAATTTTTTCCTCCTATTTTCAATATGTTTTATACTCATGAGACCGAGACGAGAACGAGACGAGACTGCAACCTCTAAATCGAGACCGAGACGATATTCTCTAAAGTCTCATCTTGATATATTCATCAGATTGAAATAATTAACAGCTTTTGATTGGTAAAACATTTTATTATTCAATTGAAAAACTTAACGTCCTCTTGTCTGATTTTCTGTTTTTTTTCCTGAATTGATGATAATGTACGGAAGGCGTAAAAGAAGACCACCTTTCACGGAAATTTTCAGTTATAATACCCCGAGACGTTCAAAATTATCGAAATATTTCCGATAGCTTCGTTGAAAACAAATGAAAGTGTCAAGTTTTGCAGACTAAAAATCATTTCTTCGAAATCATATCAAATTTATTCATATTCAGAACATTACCAGAGATCATGCTCCAAAAAAAGTTGAAGCGGTATCCATTATTTATTGATGAGAACGGAATGTTGAACAGAGGGAATGCCTTACAAGTTAGGTAACACTAATAATTCATGACCTTTTGATGTGAACATATCAGTGGTTTCATTATGGGGAGGGAGGGTAATTTTAGGGAAAATCACTCTTTTGCGAGCGCTATTTACCAAAAATCTAGAAAATTCTAAATTTTCCAAAAAATATTCGAGAAAATTCTTTGGTTTTCTCGAATGAGGAATGAGAAATAAGGATATTTTTTGGGTTAAAATTAGAGAAGATTCTGCGGTTTCTTAGGAAATTTGAGGAAATTCTCCTGTTTTCTGAAAAAAATAGAGAAAGCCCTCCATTTTTTTTAGAAAAATCAAAAAAAAATCTCGGAACTTTTCTAAAAAAATTTGGAATCCTCTTGAAAATTCAAATAAAACCGCATGCTGCAGCAATCAACCTAGGTTGAAACATCTAAAGATATTTGAAACCTTCTGAAAAATTCTTATACCCCTTCTCGAGAATTCTAGACATTTCGTGAGTTTTGGAATGACAAAAGGAATGGTTTTTTATATTGGAGAAAATTTGGCGCTTTACCAAAATTTTTTAGGAAATATGGGGGTTTAAAAAAAATCCACGTAAAATTACAGTTGTACCAAAAATACAGCCACTTGCAGATATTTTTTCTTCCAATTTTTTCTCGCAATTCAATTCATAACTTTTCCTTAACTTTTCTCTCCGTCTGAGCATAACTTGGAAAACGTTTTCAATAGAAAAAAATTAGTTTCATGTACGAATCAATATGCTCGAGATCATTGAAGGGCTGAGGACAGGGTGGAGGAGAGGATCTTTATGCAAAGCAGACCGTGGTATTTTCGAGGTTTTGGAGACGAGGGGGGTCGCGACACGAGGATGAAAATTCGTGGGGGGTGCGGTTTATGTCGAGCAGCCAGATACCGCGGGGTGCCGTTTTGTCGGTGATTTAACCTTCTCCCTTTCTAGAGCTACTGCGACCCCAGGGGTGGGGGATTCTTTTCTCGGTACGGTGGGGTTGGTACGTTTGTTATTCAATTTGTGAGGGTTGCCTCGCGGCATCACTGTACGCGGTACCAGTTACTGATGGCAAGGGAGGGGGGATATTGTGCGCTGGGTATTTCAAACGTTGCTCGACGACTTTTATTCGGGATGGTTTGGGTAACGTACCGCACGGTGAGGAGCAAATTCAATTTTCAGATTTATTTGGAATGAGTGAATCAGAGAAATTTAATTTCTTCCTCTTTTGTGTTGGTCAATTCTGGGAAGCCATTTGTCTAATTACTACCGCAGTGAAAAATCCAGGCCTCTGTTTGAATTGTTCTAACTCAGTTGACGAAATTCACCCAAAAAAAAACACCTTCTTTTCAGATTTTAAATAAAATTCTTAGTCTTAAAATAAAATTTTCAAAAGTATTAATTTGAAGTCTGAACGTCTCAAGTTGAGACTTTCGAAGGGTTCAATTTCAGACTTTCTAAGTTACACGTTGAGAGTTTCAAAATTGCTCAATCTGAGACTTTCATGACTTCAAGTTAAGACTTTCAGAACTCAACTTGAAATTTTGCTTCAAGTTGCGTTCTGAACGTCTCAAATTGAGACGTTTAAAAATCTCAATTTAAAACTTTTAAAAGTCTCAGTTTGACTGATTTTTGCATCCTTAGATGTATTTTTTACCTATAGAATTGTAAGATAGACACTAAAAACCAGTATTGTTTCACTGGTATTTTATTACCATTCGTGTAGTAAAATTTATCATGAATTTCGAGGCAATTATTATGTGACTTTTCTCACAATTTTCTTGAATTGTGATTATTATTATTAAAATCTCAGTCAGTGAGCATAGGAATTAGAACATAAGCAAATCATTTATTGTAATAAGAAAATTCAACAGCTGGTAAATTGGGACATGATTCCCACCGGTCATAATGACAATGATTATAAACAAATAATTGTAAAAAGGAATATCGAATCTAACAGGAAAAATGGCATCTTTAACGGCATCAACAAAAACATTGGCGTTTAAGTCTAGTCTCAAGGAAATATATTAGCATCCCAATGTTCCGGGCCAGATCCCGGAAATTTTTATTGTATTCAATTTCCACTAAAATTTCAGGAAATCTTCTCATTGAAAAATTAAATACTCCATTAATTTTCCGTTTGAATTATCTGAAAATCAATGAAATATTAGACTTTCCAGTTCAATTTTTCCATGAAAATTCATAAAAATCAGAAAAATTCAGGGGAAAGTGGAAATTTCTCATCATTTTCTTTTTGAAAATTCATATTCCATTCAAAATTAAGTCAAGTTGTGAACTATTCATCTCACTCTCACTGAAAACTCATGAATTAGCTTGAATTCTACCTAAAACTTGAAATTTCATACCCATTTTTTCCTAAATCCGGTCCAATGTCACTCTCATAACAATTGCTATCATATCTTCCATGAAATTTCAAAAAAATTTTGACAGTGCACGAATCATTTTCACACTAATATTTCACGCCATTCTTTCATTGAACCAAAGCAATTCAAACTGAGAGGTCCAGACTTCAACTCCGCTCGTACAATTCCGGGGAGAAAGGTCTACTTGTGATATTTTCCCACTGAGAGACATGACAGCTAATCTAAAAAAGACGTGGGTGGTTTTTTCGGCATTGGAGAGAATAAAAAAGCCAGAATAACAAAACCGATAGAGGAGTACCACAGGATCACAGATTGTCACAAGAGACTTTGATCCTTCTAGTTAACAAGCCCTCAGAACTCGTAGCTTATACCGTCGGAACACTCATCTCATTTTACCAAAGCGCCGACGAGCGACTGCTCCCTTCATATTCAGTTCTGCGTTCCCTCGAACTTCTCTCTCTCATATTTTTCCTCCTTTCTTTCATTTCGCTTGACATGTTTTCCCTCCACCCCACAGTTGACCCGGAAAATCTGTAGTAACCGGATGACATTAATTCATTTTTCGTGGTGAAAAGAGAAAAAATATTTAAAAAATGAAAGCCATGAATTTTGTGAATTAATCGAGGGATGGGACTATCATCAACGTTCGCCTTCGCCCCAACAAAAAATGAATGAAAAAATCGT